AAGTAATTGTATGTTTTGCAGGTAATAGAAGTACTGTATTGTAACTGATTGTAAGTAGGGTATCGCATTAGCAGAAGTGTAAATAACCCGTATAATTTGCAACTTTTTGTAAGTAATCTCACTAATGTAAGTATTGTTCTGCAAAAAAGAGAGAGAGAGAATAAAAGAACCATTGAACAGGAAAAAAATAGAGAATTCAAACTAATTCATGTGATAATTAGAGCATTGTCATCAGGTTGATGCAGATTGATACAACTCTATTTTAGGCGTGATATTTCTCTGAAACTGTGTGCAAGTTGTAGAGGAATTTGAATTTGAGCACGGGTAACTCACCTATCTCTATTTGACTTGTGTACATGGCTCGGTGACCTGCAATCACAATCCAGGGAGTTAGGGAGCGGTTCACATTCTTCAAGTCCTTTTCCATCCATTCATACTGCGGTGATCCTTGTGTAAAGTTATGCTCTGTACTCATCATCATAAAGTGGACACTGCCATAATCAAAGCTATACCTACAAAGACATACAGGTTGCCATTTTGAGACAGATATGGTAACAGATTTGTAGAATAATCATGAGAATTTGCTGTACAATAATGATAGATCAATTTTTTAAAATAGAGTCAAACGTCTTAAACAAGTGCAAACAAAGGGCCAGAACTTATTGTCCGCATAACAGTGATGAAGATGATATGAATTCTTGTTTCTCTGGGACAAAGTGAACTGTCTGTAATAATGATGTGTGGGTATAATGGAGGTGTTAGGAGAGAAAGCTTTGACTGCATTTACATGTCCGTATTTTAAAGGCGCCAGTTATCATGGAGGTTTACCAAAAGAGAGGCTCAACTGTACTTGTAAACTCTCTTGGTGTAATTACAGTATGAGCTAAAACATCTCACTTGTTCACCTTCATACAATAAATTCTTGAGATAAAACTTAGCTCACCCAAACCTGTTTCCATGTGCACACAAGTCTTTCCTTGCGTGCCAAAGCATCCACATTTAGAACAAAACTCGTATCGCTAACTTGAAACAATTATACAAAATGAACTAATGAAACACGATCTTACCACCACACTGCATTTCCATTATCAGGCATGTGAAAGCGGTAGTACATTGGCACCCCACACTCGCCACCAGAGTCAACCCCATATCCTGGTGCCCACCAAGGATGGAAGCCTTCTCCAGGGGCCCCACTGGGATCTTTGGACCCTCCCTTCATGTGGTCCTGTTCATGGTTTCCAATACCCACCATATATGGAAGGATGGTAGCATACGGCTCAATTACAGCATGCCATTGCTCCCAAATGTAGGCCTGCAATAAGCACAAAATATGTATCAAAAGATGTAATATTAGGCTGAACCCTTTAAGGAATTGCTTAGCTTACTCAGTGCTAAATTAAAAGAGGCAAAGTTGTCTGAGTCAGTTATTTAAGTTTGGCTTATGCTCTCTCATAAACACCTCTCTCCAACCAGGTGTATTAATACTTTCACCAGAAACCTAACAAAATGCTAGGGTGAACTGTCTTGTTATCCTGCCCAGGGGTAATGTAATAACACTAATTATAATCCATCAAATATTTTCACTTCTCGTGACTGAATATGTAATGGCTAAAACTGGGGAGTACCTGTATGAATTATTCCCCAATCTTTAAAACTGCTGGTGTTGCAAAAAATATTTGAAGGAAAATTAACACAATAGCCTCCATTTTGTGCAAAATAAGGCAGATATTTGTCCTTGGACATTATCTGTTCCTCAAAGCTTACAGGTTTCCTCAAACTATGCTCCTGGAACAGGTAATGTCTGTGGACAAATATCCGAACATATTTTCATGCCAAATGGAAGCTATTGTTACAAAGTACCAAAAGATCAAACTATTGTTATACTATTATGCACTGTTGCTCAGCTTTATAGGCTGTAGAAGTTGTGATCCTAAATAACAAGGTCTGTACACTTCTACACTTACAAATCCCCTTGCATATGAAATATCGCCATTATGAAAGACAAATGCTGCTGTTCCATTCATAGCTTCTTGTGTTGCATACTCAGCTGTCTTATAAGCTCGCGGTACTGGTGATACTCCCATGTCTCCATACACCAAGGCAGTAAACGTATTTGCTGAGCCAACAGGTGGAGATGTGTTGAAATGGTGAATAGGACTCATTGCCTGAAATGAAAACAAATGTCGCTCAAGCCAAGATACAAGTGCACATGTGTCACCAGCCACTGTTTATATTTAGAAAATAGCCCAAAGAAAATACAAGCACTAACTGGTTTAAAATTGTTTTTCTATCTAACAATTAGATTATGAGCTTGAGATTTCTATGAAGTGATAGTTGATGAGGTCAAAGGCCGAATCAACTATCAACTCATAGAAATTGAGGGTGAATAATATAATTGTTTTAGTAGAATTCTAACTAAATTTCTTTCAAAGAGCAATTTCCAATCATTTCTCAATGCAGTATAAACTTTGCGCTCTAGCAAAATCGTGTGGATGGAATTGTGTTTTTGAACTTGCAGTTGTGCACGTGCAGTCATCCATTCATTGAGAAATTTTGACATTTGAAAGTGGCATAATGGTCAGTTTCCTTTCTTTAGTGTTCTTCAGAATTACATTATCCCA